GAAAGAAAGAAAGAAAGAAAGAAAGAAAGAAAGAAAGAAAGAAAGAAAGAAAGAAAGAAAGAAAGAAAGAAAGAAAGAAAGAAAGAAAGAAAGAAAGGGGAGAGAGAGAGAAACCCTCTCTGCCACATATGACCTGTCGTGGGTTTTGCTGAGGTCGGCTTGTTTAATCTTGCTCTCAATTGTGAGTAGTTTTGAGATTCGGGTTTAGTCAAAGCAGTAATGAGGACTGACATAAAAACAAACCTCTCTCTCTTTAAATTAAAAAATTTACCAGATAACATCAAGAACATGAGGTCCCAATTTTGAAAATAAGACTCGCCTTATTTTTCTAAGAGGGAAATTCTAAATGTTTTTTTTTTTTTTTTTAAAAGTGCCATCCTGCTTGTTCAAATTAAGGATTGAAAAGATCAAGGCAGCTCGTGGCTTTTTAGGAACTCTTGTTGCTGCCCTTAGAGCTTAAAAATAAGTGGGGTGAGGAAGGGGAAAGTTGGGGTTAGGAAATTTAGCCAGCAGCTGGTAAGGCGGTGCACGCCTGCAATTATAGCACACACAAGGTCAAGGCAGGAAGATGGCTACAACTTTGAGGCTAGCCTGGTATACATAGTGAATTCCAGTTCAACCAGGACTACAAAGCAGGGCCCCTATCTCAAAAAACAAAACAAAACAATAACAACAGAAACCAAGCAAACAATCAAACAAAGAATAAAAAAACGTATCCCAGCACAACCAAAAAGAACCTCAAATAATAATTTATGCCTGACTTACACTTTATTGTGATTTTAAATTATGTGATATCTGTTGTGTGAGTATGTACATGTGAGTACAAGAGCTTGTGGTGACCAGAGGCGTCGGACCTCCTGGAGATGGACTTGAAGTTGACTGTGAGGCAAGAGATGTGGGTGTCCGGAATGAAACGCTGACCCTCTGGAAGAACAATACGTGCTCTCAACCCCTGAGCCACCTCTTCAGCTCCCTGCTCTACACTTTGGAATCATTTACAAGCTGTGCATAGTTTGCTCCTGTAGTTTTCTGAGTGGAAAATTGGAAAATGGGTGTGTGCACATTAGGAAAATAATACTGATGGCCACAATTTTTCTCACAGAAATTGCAAAGGCATCCTCATTTGTCTGCGGTTCTCCAGACACAAGGATGCTGGAGACGGTTTCCACTGAGGCAGACGGAGAGCGATTAGTGCCTTAATGGGAGTGCAGTTGGCGCCAGAGGTCTCTGCTGATGCCACCCTTCCGAGGGCGAGCGACAGATCGAAGCCGCCACACTCAACTCTTTCTCGTTTCCACAGTCACTAGACGTGGAACGCTTGTGTCCCTCACTTACCAGAATGTGTCCTAAGGTGTCCCGTGAGCGCATCTCTCCTTTGGCATGCGTAGTTGCAGAGGTGGCACTTAAAAGGTTTTTCCCCTGTGTGCAGCTTAATGTGGCGGAGGAGGTTACCTTTCTGAGTAAAAGATGCCCCACACTGATTACACTGGAACGGGCGTTCACCTTCGGGGAGGATGAGAAAGGAGAGCGCTGATCACAAGGCAGGCGGAGAAGCGTGTGCACACATTAGACGCCTATGGCAAGAGCCCATCTCTGGGGCTGGTTCGCCCTCAGTGAGAGATCGCTTGGGAGCTACACTGTCAGGCTCAGAGACTCGTGCAATCTTCTTCCTTGAAGAATGAACACTCCCACTCAGTACAGCTACTCTAGTTATCTTACTCTGAGTCAGTGCCAAGGGACACGAGCAGCCTCTGGAGCTGTCTAGAGGTTTTTCCATTTCTTGGCATCTGAATGCAGTCGCCTTTGAAGAAGGACTCAGAGATTCGAGCCTTCTTGTATTTCTGAGACAGGGCCTCACTACGTAGCCCTGGCCTGAAACTCACTGTGTAGACCAGGTTGGCCCCAAACTCACAGAGATCCTCCTGCCTCTGCCACCTGAGTGCTGATGCTGGGATTAAGGTCTTTGTTTTGTTAGGTGGTTTTACTCTCTTTTTTCTTTTTGACAGGGCATTTTCCTCTGTAGCTAAGGATGGCATGGAACTCATGATGGTCCTCCTGAGTGATGGAACTGAGCCACTGAGGCACGCTTAGATGCAAGATGTAAGGTGTCAAGCAAGGCATCAGTCTTTCACTTTAGAGTCCCTGTACCAGATGAAGTCTACGGACTCAGTTTGTGACTTGTTCAGAGCCTTCCTACGGACTCCTTGTTTACTAGATGTATTTAAAACCGACAATAAAACCCATATCCTTTTATCTACCAAATCTGAACCCAACACAGTAAGGGGCCCCACTTTCATGAATGTGCCACGTAAAAATACTTGGAAAAGAAAAACTATTCGGCTAACCTTGATAGCTGATTTCATTGGTCTCTCTCTCTGTCTCTGTCTCTCTCTGGTCTCACAATGCAACTCTAGCTGCCCTGAAAGACCAGGCTGGCCTTGAACTCAGAGATCCACCTGCCCCTGCCTCTCGAGTGCTGGGATTCGAGGTGTGCACCACCACACCAGGCCTTCGTTAGTCCCTTTTTATTCGTAGTATTTGCAACGTGTTTGCCAAATGCATAGTGCAGCGGAACCAAGAGTCAGGGGTAAAATGGCAATGGAGGGAGGGAAAGAAACATCAAAGTTATAGCAGAAAGCAATGGAGGAATCCAAAGAGAGACCCAGACTCCGCCTCTTCATCCCTCACATGGCTGCCCAGGACAGGCTTGAGAGCTGACAGAGGAGGCTATTTACCAGTGTGGCTTCGCTTGTGAACCATCAAGACATTGAAGCTAATGCAGGATAATCCGCACACATCGCAGTTCATCTTCCCACTGGTCGGTCTGCCGCTGTCGTATGGCACGTGTCTCTCCAGCTTAATGTTTTCATATTCATTATACTCTCTTGCATAGCTGTAAGGAATGTCACTCTCTTCTGCATTTCCCATGGGCTCCGGCTTCAGATTGGTCTCATCTCTTTCGCTGTACTCATCTTTCACTTTCATCGAATCTTCTGCGGGGGACAGAAATGCGAGACATGAACGATGACGGTGTTTGAGGCTGGGATGCAGCTCAGCAAAGAGGCCCACATTTAACTGACGGCTGGATGCAGAGGAGGCCCGGGGAACACCGTCTACATACAAAGCAAGAGAGCGCCAAGAGGGCGATCACCCATTGTTTGAATTCAGAACCACAGTTAGAGCAACACACACACACACACACACACACACACACACACACACA